TATAAAGCTAAATTCTTTTGACACTTAAAACTTTAAAGTAGTAACCTATCCCTGGTAAAACTCTGATGAATGGTACCAGATTACCTCTTTAGTTAGGGATCGCATAGAAGAATTTACTGAATCAATTTGCTGCACGGTGTTCATTAATTCATAATTGTCTGCCATTCCAGATTATTATTGTGATAATTAGGCTTACTGCTTAATCTGACAAGTATAAAGCAAAATTAGCATATAGGAAGCTAATAAAAAGTATTCTCAAAAAATTTATACTGTTAAAAAAAATTTACCTCCTTAATTGAAATTCGAAGCGGCTTGAAACCAAGTGGAAAAAAATCTTTTAGAAATTAATTTAAAGAATTTTTTTTTTTCAATTTTCTGTAATTAAATTCCATTTATTCAGAGGAAATGACTTTGAATTTTTGGAAAATCAATTTTAGCTTAATATCTGCAAATTACTTTTTAGTTTTAAATTAAAAACATTTTTGGACAGTTCACAAAAGCTTTGTATATGCAAGGGGAATAATTTCAGTTTTAAACTTTTAAGGAAATCTATTTACGTCACATTTGAAAATGGTAGAATTGTCTCTTATCTTTCATCAATCAGGATGGAGAAAAAAAATTATTTCCTTTAATTCCTTACTTTTTCTCCCTTTTTTAGCCATTTGCGATGCGACGATAAAAAATTTGCAGATGCTAATGATAACCTGTAGCGTTCTACAAGATTTCTGCTACCATGATTAAAGAATAGTTTCTTCTTTCCTTCTTTTTAAACTGACATGGCTTTTTTTAATCTTTTTCATAACTAATTATTTATTCGCTAAAAAGCAAGATTAATTTTTTTTAAAAAAAGCAAGATTTATTTTTTAAAAAAAACATTCAGAGTGAAAGTTGATAAGTGATAATAAAAGAAAATAAATGCAATTTTTTTCAGTAAAAAAAAAAAATTGTTACGCGGTATTTTTCGTTAGCGTATAATACAGCTAAGAGATAACACGCATTATTTTTCTGAAACCTGTTGATGGAATTTATGTTGCTTATAAGCATATAAAAAATTAAGATTAATTTTTATAATTATTTAATTTACTAATATTAGAAAAGTTTTGGAAATGTAAGGTAAACAAATTTTTTAAGACTGCATAATTTCAAAAGAAAAAATGCAAACTTTAGATGGAATATTTATGGCCGTTCTCTTACCTAAACTATTGAGACCAAATTTTCCAGATTGCAGCTACCTTTCTCTCACATTTCGAGATTCAAGAATCCAAATTCGTAAGGGTAAAAAAGGTATGTTTAATCAGAGAAAATACATTTTTGTAACTTAAATTATCGTCAGCTCAAATGAGAGAAATTAAGCTGAGGCTTTTTTTAATGCGCACGGTACATGAAATTTCCATTGATTTGGCTGTGATTCCCTAGAGTTTAAAACACATAAATATTATAATTAAATTTATAGGTGGAAAGACAAAGAGAAGAAAATAAAAAATTGATTTCAATTAAATTTTAAAATACGATCAAAGGTGTACTCTGTATTTGCTGGAGAAAAAAAATTGATTGAAATAATAAAATTATTGTTAAATATAAAAGGAAAAGCAGCAGGCCATTATTTAATTATTTATCAATTTCATTCCTTTGCATTTGGTTTCTCATCCAAATAAATGATTTTACAAATTTTGTGATTCATATTGAAACACTGTGAACACATAGTGTTCACAGTGGCAATCTAATAGGAATCATTCTATCTTAGTCAGCTGAATATAACAATACAAATATTAAAACACGAACTATTTATATTCTTAGAAAGATAAAAAAAAATTGAAAAAATGACAAAATGACCAACATTTATTGATGAAGTGGAAAATTAGAATGTTCAGTTAAATTACTTAAGCTAATTTATCTGTCTAAAGAAAGTATCATACATACTGTTTACAAACCAGTTTTATTGAAGCTATTGTATACAATTTCAGTTCTAAATTTACATGTATGGATTTTTCAAACAGTGAAAAGAAATTACTTATTAGTGTAGTGTATTTTAGTACATATATTGACCATTCTTAAATAATATCAAAAGTTCATGATTTTTTTTCTTTAAATAAACAATGCTGCAATTTGCTTTCAATCAATCAATTACAATTTATTCTGCTGAAAGGAGGGTTATTCTTGTGCTGGAATAAATAACATAAGAAACTGCATATTACACAGAATAATTACATGCACAAAAGCTTTCTTACACATTCTTCATTAACTCAATTGCCCTGAGTGTACATTACCGTTCTACAGAAGTTTTCACCAAGCATCTTTGGTCTTGGCGATTAATAGTATTATAAAGTCACATGTTCTTAAAGTACAAAATGTCTGCTATGGAAAATCTAAGGTTCGAACTGAAAATAAAAGTACCAAATCTATAAATTTTGCACAAAAAAACTTCACATGTCAATACAAAGTATTATGAAGTCCAAGCAAATTTTTAAAAACTAAATTTAGTTTACCTTGTTTGCTCTGAGATTACAAATCAGTGAATTCTATTGAAATATGAGACGAAAGAAATATACACACATTGATTAACTCCACTTTTGAAAAATTTTTCCATTTGCATGTCAAAGCACTTGATTAAGTCTTAATTTTTAAAATTTTAATGACTTTCTCAAGTAATAAAGATTATTACCATAAGAAAACAAGTTTTTTTAAGCACTGAATAATTAATAATAATTAATAGCATGAATAACAATAATTAATAGCACTAATAATAATACTTAATAGCACTGAATAATAATTAATAAATAATTTATTTCAAGAGCAATTTTAATTAACTCTACCTACCAATTTAAACTTATAGCACTAATACATGGTAGAGAAAATGTTTTTGAGATATGGCGAAATACGCAAAAAGTAAAATTAACATTGCTGGATCCAGATTTTCGACTGCTCCACAGCCTTACTTATTAATATTACATTTTCCAAATTGAAGTTAACCCTCATGTTTTGTGAGTAAATTATGCAAATTCATAAAAAAAAGTACATTAATTCCATGAAAGAATGTCTTGTGTCTGATTTCATAATTTAAAATATGCTCTGCACTAATTAATTAGCATATTTTAGGTTAGGCCCTCAAGTCATTTAGATTGAGTCTCAGTACTTGTAAATTCTATCATTAGATCATACATTTTTTACGGTGCTTGCTTTTTTGTGCACAATATATACATCAAACTATAAATATAACAGAGTAATATTATTAAAAATTAATAATTTTAATTACTACAGAGTAATAAAATGAGCAAAGCCACATGTTATTAAAAATATAGCAAATGTAGAAAGACTATATTGACCAAGCATAATTTCTTGCTTTCTCACTTTTTTAATGCATAAAAGAAAAATGTTAAGTGTTATAAAACTAAAACGAGTTCTTAACATTTCAGTTTGCTAATGTATTTCAAATACATCATAAATTTACGATCAATAATTGAGGGTTTGAGTCACAATAGCAAACTGGTTATCGTACTAGACAGATTGAAGCTCACCCAGCTCCAGATTATTGGGTACTGACTACTCTGGGAAATAAAAGCAGCTGACATGCAATGCCTAAAACAGCTTTTGCTTTTTGTTGCAAAAATTTACGTCTATGAACAAGGATAATATCATGACATATATGTAAAAATTAATTTAATTCGAGGAGAAGAAAAAACCTTTTTTTATGAAAATTTATTTAATTGAATAAATTACAAAACAATCCTTTGCCTATTAAACCCAATATTTCTCTATATTAAAAAATCATAAGAGCCACTCCTGTTTTATGCATTCAACTATGAACATTAGAGACTTGAAATTACAAAGGTGAGTCAAAGACCTGAAGTATGATGATGAAGAAGAAGTACGATGCAAAAAAAATAAATAACATTTAATAATTAGTTTGAGTAGTATTAACTGTTTAAGTAAAAAATACTACTATGGGTTATTTTGCAGCTCTCAAAACTGCAACTACAAAGTTGAAATTTGATGTGTCGGAAGGGTCAATTCCTTATTTTAGTACAAGTTTTTATTTTAAGCTATTGCAATTTTAAATGAATTTTTTCAAAAGAAATTTTTTTTACATTTTGTTTTTGCCTTGCATAACTTTAATGTCATGTTACATTTTGTTTTACTATACAAAAGCTATGAGATTTAACTAGAAATTTCAAAGGGGTTTAGAAAGATGTGCAGAAAGTATGATAGAACCAAAAAAAAATTTAATACTCAATAGTAAGTTCCATAATTATTAAATGTTAAACTCATCATAAAGAATACTACTTATGCCATTTTGCAGCCCACAAGAAATACAACCATATTATTGAAATTTGACCAGTTGAAAGGGTACATATTTTTTTGAACAATCTTTTAACTTTAGTTACCTTTAATCCACTGTTACAGATAAATTTATTCAGTTTGCTTAAAATCATTAGTATATAAGCTAGTGTTAGAGTTAATATCAAAAGTAACAGAGAGAATAGGATATTGATAACTATTAATCTAAGCGTTTATTCTGAATTTTTTAAAAATATAAAGAATTTATTTCAAGAGAGACAAAAAATCATTTTATATTTGTTCTGTTGTTAAAATCTTGTTAATGAGAAAAACTACCTATAGTTAATTTCTTATTTCGTCTTTTAATCTATACTTCTTTAAGTTTAAATTTTTTTTTTTCAATTACAGAGTTTAAAAAAATTTTTAATCTTGGTAATAGTTCATTTTGTTATGATTTTTAACAAATATTTTTTACATAAAATTTATAATAATCTATTAAAAAAATATTCATTGTATTCAAGAAAAATAATGACTTTTAAGAAAGAAAAAAAAACAAAAAAACATGTGTGAAGCAAAGATAAGGGTTGGTGAGCAGAGTTAAGAAAAGGCAGATCCCCTAGTGTGATAAAATATTTAATTTTACTAATAGAAATACAAATAATCATAGTGTTCTACAACATTTCATAACTTAATGATCACAATTAATGAACTAGTGTTAAATACAACTAGCCATTTGGTTTAAAAAGATTAGAAATTGGAAGGGAGTTATTATGGGAAGGAGGTGTTGGCATTTGTAGCTGTTGAGGCAGCCAAAGCCTGCAAGAGGCTTTTTTGGATTATCAAACAAATGTCAATTAATATTTTTAGTTTGAACAGATGAACTACAAAAATTTTTAAAATATTCCTTATTTTATAAATCAAAATAATGCCATTATTTTTCTTGTTTCATATTCTGAAAAATATCTCTTTGTTATAACCAAATATTTTATGATAAATATAAAGATTATGAAAACATTAATGACAGATATTTACAAATCTACCTCTAATAATAAATATAATGACAAAAAAGGACTAAATGACACTTAGTATATACAATAATATATACAATAAACATATTTACATTTTTTACACACATTGAAACGTATACTTATTTTTTGGAATTTAATTTTCCATATGCTAAAGCAAAATGTAATAAATCAAAGTCAGATAAGTAATTTAAAATTGGATGAATAGTATCAGCAACCAAAATAACTTTGTAAGAATTTGAAAAAGTAAAAATTTCCTGGCTATGAATTTTTTCAATAATATAATCTCTCCCTAGCATACGAAATATTATTTCTTCATAAATAGGAAAATCATAGTTACACAGAATATCAAACACATGGCTTTTAATATCTATCACAGAATCTTCGTAATATGTTTTTTGATCTATAGAATACTTAAGGATATCAAAAAATGAAATTCTCCCAAAAATCTTAACATTGCGCATTTTAGCAACTTCCCATATACATTCTATAGCAAAATCTACTAATCTCTCTAAGTAAAATTTCATTTGGCTATAGGAATAGTTCTCATAGACTTCGATGAAATCAACAGTACTGTACTTGATTAACAATTTCACATAGGGTGGTATTTTTAAACTGTTTAAATGTTGCTTGACAGCATATTCTGCGGGTGACTTCGCAAAAGCCATGTACGAACCGGCTTTAGCTCCGTGATTGAGGAGTTCCTGAACCAGAGCAACATCAACAGAGCTACAATGATTTACAGCCTTATATAAAGTGGAATTCGGAGAATCACTTTCCGCGTTAATTTTTGCTCCGTACTTCAAAAGTTCTCGGACAACCACAACGTCCCTGTACGTAACAGCTAGATCAATTGGATAACAGTGATGGGAATATTCACTATTTACATCAGCACCAGCGTCTAACAATTTTTTTATAGTTGGAAGTTTCACACCGGAATTACGCAAAGCAAGGTGCAACGCAGTTAAGCCAACTACATCCCTCTGGTTAAGAGAGGCACCAAATAAGAGTAATGTATCAATAATATCTACTCTATTGGCTAAAACAGCTATGTGTAATGGTGGGAAATGGTTTGAGAAGTGGCTATTAACATTAGCTCCACATATTAAAAGGGTTCTTAGTATTTCTAAATTTCCTTCGCAGTAACGTATAGCGCGACTAAGGAGATGCTCCCCTAATCCATCCATTGCATTTAGCGATGCACCGCCATTTAACAGCACTCTGACAACATCTAATAAACCTTTCTGAACAGCAGAGAATAATGGCGTTGAACCATACCAATCTCTAGAATCGACAATTGCACCGTGCTTTAAAAGTTCCTCAGCAATGTCTTTGGATCGGGTATAATGAAGGAGTGAACCATCAGATCCATCATCGTGCTGAACGTAATGATTAGGATCAGCACCACCATCTAATAACGCCCGAAGCATTACAATATTTTCTTCTTGAACAGCTTTGAATAGTTCGTGGTTTATATCCATGATTGTAACGATTGTTCAAGGTTTTTTTTTTTTTTTTTTTAATGAAATTTGAGAACTAATATTACATTCCGAATAACGTTAAGTACAGTAAGTTAACACCGATTTGGAAAAATAAGTAATATATATTTTTTTTAATAAAATTGTAAGGAATTTTTTATTCAAATCTTGAATTTAATACTGAAAATACATGAATTATAGACGATATGGAACATTTCTGGAGCGGTGACATACTGCGGAGTACAGAGAGTGAACACACAGAAAGTAGATTGCAGCTCTATTAGCTTTATATGATTCTTTTTAAAGGCTTATTCTCACTTCAAGATACGATTCTTCATATCGGTGCGTAGTTTAATCTCGTTCCGAACCGGATCGGTAAACTGTTCGCACCCAGTACCTTTATCAAGGTATAAAAGGGTTTTTCACCTTTCAAAAATTTAAAGAAAAATATGTTATGATTTGCCAACTTATACCTTTCTAGTTGGTACCCTTTTTGAATTCTTTTTTTTAAATATTACATCGGTCACTGCCCATTGAGTTGTCACAACTTGACGATTATTTTGGTATGGATATATATCTTCCCTGGAACTTCTATTTTAACAGAGTCAAAAAAAAATCATTTTAAATGGACGATTGCCGATTTACAATTTTGAGATACAAGCTAGCAGAACCACCATTTTGATTATTCATTGCATGAATTTATTCTCTGTAGAGTAACATCTGAGCTTGGAAACGTTACATTTTGAGTCAGAAAGTGACCAATTCAACCCTTCTAGACGACAATTTTTTCATTTTGTTACCCTGATAAGAAACTGAACCACTTACAGGTCCATGGGTAAGAGAAACTTCCCATGTTTAGCTGAAATGCACGGTCATAGTAAAATGATCCACCCATGGAGGAGATATGTCAGTAAGGAGTAGAATAATATTCAAACTCATCATTTATTGTTGAAATTTGAACACGAATTTCATTTTTATTAGTACATTTATTTACCTCCTACTCTATCTTTAATTGTTGAAAAAATTTCAAATAAATCAAACATAGTCTGAACTACGGTGTATCAGGTCTAACATCTGGCCGTAACAACTTTGATTAAATTTTAAAATTTTCCTTATAAATAACTTTTACAATATAATAATCTGAAGATCAAAAAGTGATTTAAATAAATAAATTGAACATTTTAACTGATGAAATAAAATTTGTTCAAAAACCTAATCCCTTATCATGCGTCATAGACATCGTGCTAGCTAATACCAAAACGAAAATATATTTGCCTTTTAAACTTACATTAAAATGAGCTATTTAATGGTCAAAATACTCCATGCCTTACCAAAGATTTACGCTAGCCAAGAGAAGATCCACATGTCTAGACAAAAAGCTTTAAAAAAATGCCATAACCTTGAAAAATTGTACCAGTCGTTTCCTCGATAAATAAATGTCATTGCTAGTATTGTTTTAGCTCTTGGGATTTATCGTATGACTAAATGCCATCATTAGGCTAAAAACTTAAGCAAACCCTGTCTAACATATTATAATCAGATACTTTCAATTCACTTTATTTAAAAAAAAAATCGAAATTAATCTTCAAAACTATTAAACCACCCTTTTACTCAATCACATTTAAAATCAAGACTTATAACTCATTCATACTAAAATTTAGCATTATCCACCAAACTTTGAGTCAACGTTATTTGGCAGTACTTAGTAGCCACTTGTTAATGGGCATGTTTAATTTAATAACATGAAAATCTCTGAGCTCAAAAATAAGATTTTTAAGATTGCAAAATATTGGTCGGTAAAACTTTATTTTTCTTTCAGATTTCGCCTGCAGCATTGCTGGAAGCAAACAGCAATTGAATCTTGTCTATAGCCATGATGAATATGATGTAATTTTTTTAAATGAAGCAAAATATTGTTGGGAAAATTTCTGAAAATAGCAGTTCAAAATTCTAGTTATTAATAAAACTCAAGATTTAAAAATTTTAGCAATAAATTTCCTTTTTAGCAGTTATGATTTTCAGTCATAAATGCTGATGATGACTTATGGTACATTGGTGCAACATTAAATACTCTGGCTTCTACAGCATTGTCAAGTTAAGTAAATTGTTATTGTCAAATGGAATAAATATCCTTTTTTTGACTTTTATTCATCAAAAACACATCAAGTACCAATCATCAAACGTTGAGAAAGATATATTATCTCTAGCAAAAACATGGCCTATTAGAAAAAGAAAAAAATTATAATAAATTGAATTTTTCAACAAAAATATATAAAACAGGTTTATTACTTTTATTCCATACGTGAATAATAGGAAATTTGTGTACAATTCCAATGATTATTTTTATTTAAAAATAAAACAAGACTTCAATAAGCATGGTTTCTGTAAAAGAAAAACATAAAATTAAAACAATCTTTTAAATTCTTTCTTGAGGAAACGGGCTTTACCACACTAAGTGCCATTAAAATTTTAAGACTTCAATCATAGAGCCAACAAGATTTAACTACAAGATTTTTAAAATTTAGTTAATGTTCAAAATCTGAAGGACATAGGTTTATAAACATTTTCAAGCTTACAAAATATAAAACAGTATAAGTAAATACTAGAATAACATATATCACAATGTTTTAGAACATCATGTATACTAGGTTCTGCAACAACATAGGATTGAGGCTCAAGAAATTTTAGTATAAACTAAAGTAGTGAGTTAAAATAAGGTTTAGTTAACTTTAGCTACAACAACTATTTTAGTAATTAATAAGGCAATATTCCTTTAGCAAGGATCTTTATATCTTTTCAACCTAAGTCTCCATGGTTAAGACACAGTCTAGGCATTTAATGTCATTTTTTATATCAGTTATTATGCTCCTATTCATTACTATTTTGTAAGATTTTAACTTACTTACTTGGTATATTTTAAAGCACAATCAAATTAAAAAGTTTCCCAATACCTGGCATGTCAAGATCGGAACCACAGGCCAGATTTGAGATGATAAGCCATAAAGGCTGGTTCCAGCTTTTATGGCTAAATTTGGAGGCCTCTGCCCTATAACAATATCCTGATTAACACTTAAAATATTATTATGAGGTTTTACTGAATTTACATTTGCTGAATTATGTCTAATTTTATGCTTGTATTAAGCTTTTGGTAGTGTAAAATTATCTTAATGACACAAATTTCCACAAGTATTTAAATGGGTTGTATATCTTTTCTTTTTGTCTAGTAGCATAACTTGACATGAATCTGTTTTTCCATTGCATGCTATCAAACTCTCATAATTAAGACGTTACAATGGTTACCACAGCTTAGATTGCTGCAGCTTAGTGTATTTATAATGCTTCTAAATGTTGCATTGTCCGTTTATAACTCGCATTCTGTTTATAACCTGCATTGTCATTCAGACACTGAAACATTGACTGAGCATTTGGATATTTAATGTAATCAAAACTTGATTTAATAAAAATTAAACATTGAAAATTCAATGTCATGCCAAGAAGTCTAGTCTGTGATTAATATTAATTGGCTGTCAATGTGTTAAAGCAACATACAACTGCAATTTTATTTAAGTTCCAGCTGAAAAAATACACCCATATTTCACAAAACTTTTAAAAATTATTCTAACTTTTCCAAAATACATTACATAGACATTTTAAAACTTATTAGTCTTATAAAATGAATATGATTTTAAGAGTTTTATTTTACAAAGGCACAGAATTATTATTATTCAGCAAATATTACTTCAAAATATACAAAGCTGAAATATTAATTATACTTGAAACTTGTAAAAATAAGTAAAATATTATTTTACAGAAAATATAAAGAAAAAAAAATTAAGAAGATCTTGCCCTTTTTTTTCTTTCCAAATTTTCGCTATGTATTTTCGTGCTCTTATTTATCTTAAACAAAAACAATTAATGCAAATAAATTAAGCAACTGAAAGCAGCTTTTAAAAATGATCAAATATTTAATTTCTGATCAACTATAGCTTAAGTATTACTTTTGAATAGTTTGGATAAAAATATATCAATATTAATCTAATATTTGTTTTTGTATATGTAAAAAAATGTGTATTATATTTTATGATATTTTAAATTTAAAATAATTGTATCATACATAACTGATTGAGCATTAATGTCCAAAAGTTTGAGCAACACATGTTTTTCATTTTAATGCATAAATAAGAGAAAAAATACATATTTTTCAAGCCTTGAAAAGGCATAAGGTTTGTGGACAATAAAACTTTTAGTAAATTTACAAACTGGTTCAATTATGAATATTGTATAAAATTTTAAAACGTGTACATTTTATAAAACAAACTTTCGTAGAATTAAAATATTAAATTTTTTATTGTGAGCATCAATTATGATTATTTGGTTGTTAGAACAACTTATTTTTAGAAAAGTGTAATTAGAGAATAACTTATGAACATTGACAGTTAATAACATAAAAGAAATATATAATATTTATTTTTACATATTGATTAAAATAACCTAATATAATTAATATTCACAGAAATATAGAAATACTTTAAACTATGATTATGTACAAAATGACATTAACTTTTTTAGAAAACATTTGTGCTGCACACATTTAATTACGCTTTTTAATAAAGGCCCATATTACAAAATGCAATCATGATAATATATTAATTCACTGAATAACAAACATATTATGAAATACATGAAAAATACATAATTTCATAAAATTAAACAATATACAGTAATGTGCTATAAACAAAAACTAATATGCTGTGAAAAAAAGGCAAAGAAAAAAATCAAACTCATCTATATTTAGAAAGAAAAAAAAAGCCGAAATACTAATTTTATCTGGGAAATCAAGTTTTCAGTGCAACCAGTTTTTTTTTAAAATATGGCCAACTAGAAAAATATTCAAGACATTAAAGTAGAATGTATGGATAAATTGGTTCAATTAAATTTATTTTTTTGTTGTTAACAAGAGATGTATGAAGAATAAACTTTTCTGCAAATAAATTTTAATTTGAGTAATTTAATAAAAGCAGTAGCTATAAAAAATAATTTTAGTTCTTTGTGCTTTTCATATAATTTTTTCTTTCTGAATATTATTGCACTTCATTGACAATCATTGCACTAATTAACATATTTAGCAAAGATAACATGACCTTTAAAATATACTTTTCATACAAATACCAAAAATTAAACAGATTCTGTAACTGGTATTAACACTAAAAATAACTGGCTACAGCATTTAAATTTCATGAGTGAAAATTTTTGAAGTAGTTATAGAATCCTAAATGCACCGAAAATACAAGAAAAATTAAAATGAATACAAGAAAATTGGTAAGATTGCTCAGTTAAATTTTTTTTCGTTATTCGATGTTTATTAGAGCAGCTTACAGGAAAACGTCAAAAATGAAATCACATAACATTAATTTTTAAGTTAAAGAAAATTAAATATCAAAAGAAAGATTAGAGGCTTTAGAATCTTTGGTTCCAGTGATAGTTATAAAGAAGTTTTTGTTTTAGACATTGAAAAAAAAAGATTTTTAACTTGATTTTTACCTTGTTACATTATAATACGTAGATTTTAATATACACCTAGCTCCTTATTTTCATTTAATTAATCAATTTATTTCTAAAAAATATATTGAACTTATTTTTACAGTAGTGTCAACTACCCTCTTCGTGGTAAAACATGGATGTTTTTTTTTTTATAGTTTTAAAAACATTATTCCCATTACTGAGTTGTTATGTCTGCTTTTTTTAAATGCTAAAATATTTTATAAACCAATAACTTTTTTAAAAAAACATAAGAATAACAATTTTAAAAATAATAACAATTTTAAAAAAATAATAACAATTCTGAAAAAATACAAATATTGAATGAATTATTTTGAATCAAATTACAATATTTGAGCTCAAAAAAAAAATGCTGTCACAAATTTTATCCATTTTCAGAGGATAAAATGTGAACATATATATAATTGAATATCTATGTGAATTAAAGAAATATCAAGTAATTAAATATATAAAATTCAAATTAAATTTATCAAAACTCTCATAATATACATCACTGTGTTTTCAACAACTGAAAATTAAAACTATTATATAAAATAAACAATTGAAATTACATTGCAGAAACTTTCTGTTGCTATGGTAAAACTGACATTTTCTTTCATATTTACAAAAACTCTTGCTGAGGTAAAATATAGAAGAGTTGTAAGATATAACAATTTATAAGTTAAACAATCTAGGAAAAAGCAGCTCACATTGCAAACAACTGTTAATACAATTTAACTTCATTTTTCAGTAATATATACAAATATAGAAGTGTGTTATATTTCACAAATGTACAAATGTTGCTATACACATTGGCTTGACTCAAAGAAGATTCAGAGCTTATCACTTTCAAAGTTTCATAATAATACAACTGAAGACCAACTCTCACAAATTCGGATTCAATCCATTATCTTGAGAAATGAAAGGAGGCCTATCTAATATTTGGGGCCTTCTATGCAGCATTGCAAAGCGCATAGTCCAAAGTTTAGCAATGGCGTCAAATGTGGATTTATTTTCTTGATATAAATGTCCTATTTCTGGCTCCATGCAAACATGGCAATAAGGGTCTGTTAAAAGCGACTGAATACTTATTAGAATCTGAAAGAAAAATAGCTAATATGAAATAATCAGTATTAAAAATAGCTAATATTAAACTAATTAAATCTGATTTAAAGCACACACTTAAAACATTAACAAATATATATATATATATATATACAAACAAATGAACAAAGAAAAACGCATCAATNTATATATATATATATAAAATCACAGTTTCAAACACTACACCTTCACAAAATGAGTTACAAATTAAAGCAAAAAAATGCTTAACTCAGTCACTCTCTATTAATTTGAGGAAAGTACAAAAATTTTGAAAGTTAAAAAGCAATGGGTGAATTTCTTCCAAATAAATTCTATTATAAAGTGAAAATAAAATTTATTGATAATTTCACAAATTTATCTATATCCAATTTCCCATGTAAAACATTTAGTGCGTTAAATGTTTCATCATTTTTATTTTCTTTCAGTCTTCTCTTTACTCTGTGATGGCACATCAAAGTTTTTTGATATTATTTCATAGTTCTCAAATTATTTCCCTAGTCAAATTCTGAATCTTACTGTATTAATATATGAAAAATTGCATTACAATAACATCATTTATCTGAACTTTACATTAATTTTCTTTAGAAATAAAATATACTAACAAAAATCTTAAAACAATGTAACAAATTCAAAAAAAAAAAATTTTTTTATATTACCTTAGAAATAGTCAAAATAAGACTCCAATTGTCATGAATTGAGTCTATGCCAATATCACCGTGCCTGCTGACATTGGGATGAAATATTTTTGTGATGAAACGAACAATTGGTGGTTTCATCGGATAACTAAAATAAGAAGAAAATATGCAATTCAACAAGTAAAATCTTAAGTAAAGTAACGAGTATAGTTTAAAAAATAGGAATCATGAAAATTTAAATGTCAAAGCAAATTAAAAATACATTATAGTAAATGAAATGAATCAATAATAATCTTCAAGTAATAAATGCATCACAAAATAAAATAATTATAAATACAAAGTATCATTTTCTAAAAACATTATTTTAAGTGAACATTTTTTAGTCTTAGTAACAGTTAGTGCTTTTCACAATCTCTAAAAACATATTAAGTTTACATGTCTGACATCAATTACACACAAAAGATAATGCACTTCTGATAAGTATTTAAGTTGCATATTCTTTGCACCACATCAATCAATACAATTTCAAAAGTTGTCTCTCTCTCAAGTCTAATCAAGCCTGTATTCTAAAAACACCATACAGATTTGTATCTAGCTGATAAGGAGTGAAAGAATTTTTTGAAGTTTTCCATTGCTCAAAATTTTTAGTTTTATTTTGAACCCCTTTCATGAAAACGGTTATAAAAGTGCCTATTTTGTTTTATACATGTATATGATTACTGCTGACATCTAGTTTAAAATAAACTAACTATCTACAATTACCTTAAAAATATCCTAGTACTGGCATCTTGTGTGTAAAATGAGAAATAAAATGTTTTCCAGGCAAATAAATGAATTAGTTTTATTGTTATTGGTGCATTACTACTGAACACTCCAGCCCGGGAATATCACATGAGCGAGAAGGAAGGGGTTAAACAATTGCTATTTGGTTTTCAAAATAAATTACTTGTTTGAAATAACCTCATTTCATAATATGGGTTAAAAAACTAATTTTAATGAAAATAGTCCTAGTAAAGATATTTCATCAATCTAAATGCCACAGCCATATTAAGGGATAAATATGGGGTTTTCAGATAAACAATTTTTTTTTACTGCTACTATATATATATATATATATATATATTTTCAGCTGTCTCAGGCAATTGTAGAAGTGTTCTGCAAGGAATCATTTACTAACGGTCTTTGATGGCCACCTCTTTAATAGATCACAAACCATCGATATTGGAAGAAAAAAATATCATACAATTAATTTAAAAATACATACATCCAAGAAAAGTAATGTGTTTTACAAGTCAAATATCAAAAACATAAAAATCATGCCATTAATGTGTACTGTTCTAATTAAAGATCAAAGTAATTGATAGAGTAAAAAAAAAAAAATAATAAACTTCTTAAACCATTCATTTTTTCTGTGTGCATAGACAAGCAAAGTCAAAGAGCCAAAGGCAGAATAATTTTTTTTTTAAATATATACTTCTGCCTTTGGTAGCACAACAAATTTTTGGAGAGGAAACGGTTTAGTCAATAGTTTGTACACTTTTATATTGTTTACACGACAGTGTCTATGTTTAGCCTTAAAAAAAAAATTAAATGCTAAATAAATAAATATGTTCAGTGAAAGGAAGTGACCAAAAAAGTTAGCCAAGAACTTCCTAGATGGATTTCAACAATTGAAAACTTGTCAATGTGCTCTAAAATCTTTAAAAAATATTAATAATTTTGAGTAAAATATTTATTAAAACTTTTTTGTTCACAACACTATGGAGACACACAAACAATTTCTCTTTATTTTATAAAATGTAGAAATCAGTAGTAATGTTTCTACAAAAAATCAACACAATTACATAAACACATTCACTATCTTGTAGTAAACTAATATGTAATTTTAAAAAATTTAAATAATAGAGGCATTTCATAACAATACTCATCAATATTATCTTCAACCCTTATAAGATTTTTAAGAACAGATTTCTTACCTTGATGGTATTTGCAGATACAAGAAAAATGTACCACCTTCATAAGGACTATCTGCAGGACCAGAAATAGTAGCTTGCCAATGAAAACACATCTCATCCAATGGAACAGCTTCAATACCCTCAGGTGGATCAGAATGTAAAGATTTCAACTCGTTCCTTAAGCGAATGGTTCTCCATGAGCTATAAACTGCAGTTGGTTCAACCTAAGCAGACAGAACAAAAAAAGCTTTATTATATAAAGCAATGATATTAAAAACTAGAATAATTAGACAAAACAATACTAAGATTTTGTCATGGTATAAAATGCATAATTAGTAAGAAATGTATTACCCCCCCCCCAAAAAAAAACCAAGATGAAATAACTTGTTTGTAGCAAAAAACTTTATTCTTGCTTTTATTAGCAACCATAAAAACATTTTATGTCTAATTTTAGACATTTTCAGTATAGAGTTGCTCATTGTACTCATTAAATTAATAACCGTATTCACGTTCTAAATTTAAAAAAATAAAATTACTTATACATGTATACTTAACAAAAACATTTTTAAGACTTATATTGATGATAATTCAGTGATAAAAATTTATAAAGAATTAAGCAAGCGTAAAAAACCTAAACTAATTCAATTATTACAAAATTGTTGAATTATTGATATTTGGCCCCTTTGCTTTTACCACAAGAACAGTAGCTATACACTAATAATTAACCATTAATAATAGATTAACAATGTTTGATAACACTTTGAAATGGATCTAGATACCCTAATATTTCTCACTATGATTTGCAAATATGGGTTTATTTTCTTTAATAAAACATGTGTTTGACAGCCCTTAAGTAGCTCAGTGATTTTTCTAAATTTTTACAGCTTTAGTCAAATTTGATTTCGAAATAAAATACAGGTGACTCTGCCATTCTGATAGTGTAGTACTGTTTCAGTTTGGTATAATTTAATTTAGCTCATGGTTATTTTTAACCTATAACACTTCTTGAAGGAGCCTCTAGATCAAAGAGCAGAAAACATAGGGTATTCAAAGCCAAATTCTACTCAAATTTACGAAATTATTCTCACATTTTAATTTCAACACAAAACAAACACCCTAATAAGATAATAACTAATCTTTTTATGTTATTCCTTTTCTGTAAATCTTTTTCTTAAGTTATTATTCTAAACGAAACGCTCATTCTCACACTTTAATATTCACATCCTGACTTTTAATCTAAGTTTAAGTATGTATTAATTAAAATTTTAATGTTGTTTTCTTTTTCTAACTTGAGAGAAACATATCTATCCCACGACCTATTTAATAGACCAATTATAATTAATAAGATTTCCCTTGGATGATTTTCCCTAACTTTTATTGAGGAGCACAACGATTTTGTGTCACTTTGATGATTGTTCTCTCTCTAGTAATTATTACATAAATATTGTACCCTCTTTCCCTACCAAAGACCTGTTTTTCAGCCTTCCTCTCAGCAACAGCATTATATATATATATATATATATATATACACTTTTTTTTTTTTGAGACGGAGTTTCGTTCTTGTCACCNACATGCTCTTTTGAATGAAATAATATATTGTCATAAAAATTTTTGGTGTTAATTGCACTAGCGTTACAATCATTTTGCAAACGCTTTGAGAGGAGTATAGACTTTTCCAAGAAATTTTGCTAGTTACAAAACCATGTTTAATACCAATGCTAATTTTAAATACAGATTAATTATTCCTAAGTTTTAAATTCAATTTTCAAATGCCCTTACGATTGTATTATTCATAAAAATATAGCGCTTATTACCTGCTGATTAGTTCTAAGCAAAATAAATAAATAAATCATACCAAAGCGCTTCCTGGACAGAAAAATGTTTCTTAAAATAAAAAAGACGATGATGTATATGATATAAAGATAGTAGTGATGTATATAATATAAACATTAGTAGATAATATAAACGTAGAAAGAAATAATAATAATAAAATCAAATTTGATTTCCTAAGGTATTTGGGTTAGAAAATATTTCCAAAATCTTTTTTGTCATTAATTGTTTTGTTTACGCAATGAAATTAATAATCATTTATTAAATTGGAAAAAAATGAGATTTTTTTATCACAATCGGGGCGCGATATAAGACTGTGGCTTCTTAGCATCATTTTAAACCTTAAAAAAATGGGGTAGAAAATGAATAAGTAAATAACGCTGGTCTCATATGTAAGTTCTGTAACTTCTGTAAGTTCATTCTGTAAGTAAGTAAGCTATTTTTCAAAGACTTAATGAAGTGAAAACGTATACGAATTAGGGATAACAAACTAAAACTTAAGTGAAGAAAAAAACAAAAACCTTATTTAAATATAACGAGCTATTATTAGAAGATTAGGAATAAGTCATTGTATATTAATATGAGGTTATTAATGTGCTTTTTTTTAACTTTATTCTTGGCAAAGATTCTGAAAATAGTTTTCAAGGGAGGCCTTACTGGAACACCCTGTATATCTCAAAATATTATAAGATGAATACAATTTATTTTTGGGAAGTAAATTGTTTGATAGATATCATGAAATGATCGAGAAAAATGCAAAATAGTTTTAAAAAATGACACCATCTGGACATTTTTATGCACTTTGTTTCACATATTGTAACACAATTTAAGGTAAATATATATATATATATATATATATAAAATTTCAAAATAAAAAGCAGAATCAGTTTTATCAAATAATTTAATTCCATCAAACAGATGTATGATTATAAATACTTTTGAAATGTACCTATATTTTAATTTGATGTCAAATTATAACAAATATATTTTGAAGTAACAGTTCACATTTGTGAGTGAAACTTGAAGAAAAAAAACTATTTTTAAAAAAATATAATTTGTGGATTTTTTATTTAAATAGATTTTTTTATTTACTTCTTTTTTGCAAATTTTCATTATTTTTTTAAAAAGCACAACAGTAAGTAATATAAAATATATAGTTTTTAGGTATATAAAATGTAGTCATAGTTACCTTCACTTGGTAAGTTTTCCATTAACCCTTCTACAAAAATATCTTTTCTTTTGGGGGATATAAGAGCTGTGATACATTCAGATAATTTGTCAAGTTTACACTGCCCAAGCACTCTAGGTGGTCTTTCATTTCTTTGTTGTAAAGTTTCATAAAAATCTGAAGGTTCTTCAGTTCCAGAATCATCAGAATCACTTTTCTATAAATATTCAACTTGTGTTATTAGTTTGAAAAATATAGGTTACTATAAAATTAATAACCTTAAAAAAAAATATGAAAATAAATAATTGGACATAATTTGAACAAAAAATAAGAGATAAGGTCGAAAGCTTACTTCTTGATATACAACTGCGCCATCAGATACGTTTAAGTCCACAGGATATAAAAAAGCATGACAAGTAACACAAAGTGGCTGCTCAAAATTAGGTCCATAAAACCCAGCACAGGTAGTACACAATTTATGCTAAAAAAAAAGATTTTTTTTTAAAAAAATGAGCAGAAAAAAAGCAAACTTAGGAATAAAGCTAAAAATAAATGAGAAAATTTAAAACCTCTTAAACGTATAGTCATCTTTAGTTTTTTTACTTGAACTTAAAAACCGGCTTTATATAAACCTGTACAGAATATGTTAATAATTTTTAGACAATTAGTAGTATTATAATAGAACTCTTGAGGAAATATAATAGTAAAACTAGGCAAAAATGTACTGAAATAAACAAATTTTGATGCAATTTTTAGAGGAAAAAAAATTATCGAAAGTGTAAAATTGTTACACAATAAAACACTATTAGCTTATTTAACAAAAATTAAAAAATAAATAAAATGCAAAACTATTGCACAATAGAATACCAGTCCATAAAACCCAATAACCAATTTTAAAAAATAACACAAATTATTGTATTAGAATTTTGATCAACAATTACTTATAATACAATACAATGGAAAATAGAAATTACAATTTACCTAGCGTTTTACAAAAAATGACTCGCTTCTTTAGGGGGGAGAGAGGAGTGTGCTGAATAATCTGACCCTAATTATTTAACAGTGAACTGTATATAATGAGGGTTGGCAATCAAATCTGGAAAAAAAATCCCTGTGTTTTCCCTGTAGATATTATACGCAATATATTAAGCGGAAACAACAATTACTGTGCTCTTATGTGAGCCATATTGGGGTAACTATATTTATTAGTTTTAATTGCTGGAAAAAAGCACGACATCCTTAAATAATGCTATTAACTTAACGAATTACGTGTCATTTATTTGAATTCAAATTTATTTTAATGACTTAGTATTTGCTAAAACTAAACTCAGTGGCGCGACAGCTTATAGAGGGCTAAGGCCTACTGTGCCTATCTCAGTTTTCTTGACCTTAGGCTCTGGGATGCAGGAGCAGATTTTCTGGTCAGGTGGTCAGCCAAATGAAGAACCCCCAGTGTTTAGTTCCCAAGCATGCTTAGTACTCATTTATCGACCCACTGAAGGGATGAAAGGCTGAGTCAACCTTGTCCAGCCCGAGGATCGAACCAGGGACTTATGGCACGACAGCGCAAAGCGCTACTAAATAAAGCTATAGTAAAGAAACAGTTAAGTATAGCTGAAACATCTTCCTTAAATATCCCACAGAATACGTTTTGAGTGGTCCCCTTTCTTTAAAAGACAAAAACAAGGTACAAAATTCCCTGTATTTTCCCAGTTTGTGAAGAAAAAAATCAAAATTCCCTGCATTTTCCGTTATTTTAGGTAATTTTTAAATTGCCTGTATTTTCCAGGGTCTTCTTTTTATCCCAATGGAGTGGCAACCCTGATTAATGCTTTATACAGTAGAGCAGTGATTTTTAAATGAAGTGTATGGATGAACCCAAGGCCGCAAGAGTTCTGTGAGTTAGAACAGATTTTTTTTTAACCGTGAAGATTTTTGAAACGTGCAAAAGGTTAGCATCAAACCAATAAATGATTATATAATTATTAGAGTATATTTATTTAATATATTATAAAGTTACTTAAATACCAATTTATTACCCATAAAAAAGAAATATAAAACTGTGGATTATATTTTTTTTCCACAGTATATTCTCAATAAAATACTAAAAGTAAATGCATCTGCCATTAATTGCATTAGTATTTTTCATAGAACTTTAAGATTCAAATAAAAAAAAGCAAGTTTAAGAATAACGAATTATTTTTCTTCGATAACTATTCTCATAGTCTATAACAGTTCTTTTTCAAAAACCATAATTCAGCTGCTAATGAAGAACAAATGAAAAAATTATCTCCATTCTTCACATTAAATATTTCTAAATTAATTTGTTGGTATTTTTTTTTTGGGGGGGGGGGGTCGCTAAAAAGAAATTTGACTGTTTAGGGTTCCTTAGATGAAAAAAAAATTGGCAATCTGTGCAGTAGAGAATACAGAGTGCATCTAGTCTCTAATCTAATCAAACAGTGGAGCATGTTCTCAAATGTTAAAAGTGTTAAAGCTTTTACTGTATCAGTTAAAATAATTCAACTAGTTTAAAATTTAGATAAGAGAATACAAATGTTCTTTCCTCTTTCTTTCTTTTCTTGATAAATTTCGACCACACAAATTATTTTCAGGGAATTACAATTTTATGCAGAGTAAAATCTTTTCACAGTGAAATGGAAAATGTTTTCCAATAATTTTTTTGAGTTATGCAAAGAAATTATTGATGGTAATTTTTTTGTTAAAATATAAATTTATATAAAAATGCAGAGGCAAATCAAGAATTAGATCAATACACTTTACAGACAGGTCTAACCATATCCAGTAAGAATGATCCTAATTTTTGAAATCTGATACATCAAATTAAATTTGAAAGATTCAAATTTGCTCTAAAATTTTTTTTTCTTCATATAGAGTGAAAAAAAAATCATTCTTAAATTAAAAATTACGTCGTGACCTTGAAAATAGATAAGATTGCTTTTAAAGTCTGCTATTATATTATTTTATGGTTATATTATAAAATATGTGGTTGTATTAACATAAAGTTATTCCCTTATCTTACCGTCACAGAACCCACTCCAGGGATGTTTCCATTTATTGTAATCTGCGGTATAACTACACCTGACTATAATTGCCAAGGTAGCAAATAAAATTTAAAAACGTAAATCTTTGAAGAAGAAAAAGGAATAACTTTGTTATCAGTACGCACCGTTCTTTAAATTTTTTTTATCGCCAAGTTGCGCAATAGCTGATGATAATCTGGTTTTAATTTGAAGAAAATATGAAGAGAAAATTGCATGTGCCGATCATTGGAGGGGATGATGATGTAATCGAAGTTGTGGAGAGATAAAAACAGATTTGTTAGTAAGCAATCAGGGTGGGGTTAATTGGGAATATAAAGAAAGATTCTTTGGAGCAAAGTTTTGAGAGTTGCAAGTTAATGAAGAAAAAAATTTTTTAGGCAGTTAATATGGACAACCTGGTCATTCTAATAGTATGAGCATCTTTATAAGTTATTAATCTGAGGGGAAAATGAAGTTGTGCAAATAATGAATTGTGGATTAATTCGTACTGAAATGATAAGTGATAAATGTGGCTGTCATTTGAAGATTAAGGAATGAAATTGTAACTTTCAAGTGACTTTTTGTGTATTTATATTTTAAAGAATTTTCTTATTTTGCTTCAGAATTTAATGTTGAGCTGTAAAAAAAAATTTATATATATATATATATATTTATTATATTAGATTTTACTTTGAGCAAATCAGTATGTGACTAATAATTTTTCATTAGTTATTCAAAATTATTAAATGTAAAAATGTGTACTATGCATTTAATTAGAGGTGTTTATTTTTATTAAGAGACAGATTTTACTATTTTTGTTGGCCAGAAACCTATTATTGCAGAAGCTGTTTTAACCAGNCAATATCTTCTACTCCGAAACGGACAAATGAAAATGAAACAAATGTGGGTAGAAACGATCAAAACGAAACAAATACTCATTTGAGCAACCTAATGAGAATAGCTGATGAAAAAGTAGATGTAGAACATTTTCCATATGATGATACAGCAAAAATATTCAATGCTTTAAAAATTAGAAGATGTTCAAAATGTTATAATTAAAGAAATGATTTTTTTTCAAGTCTCTGTGTTTTTTTTTTTTTAATTTTTAGAAATCTCACTTAACTTTTTGAAATCTCACCCTGTTTTTGAGAAAGGGTGAGAAATTCTCACCCATTTTTTTTCTGCGATGAAAACACTGAAGTTTGTTACATTTTGCTTACATAGTTGAATTTTTTTTTTTTACCAATAGGTTGTAAATATTTTATTATCACTACATAATAAACAACTTAAACTACAATACTTAACTACACTAATACTTAACTACAATAAATTTTATAACAGAATTTTTGTCGCGAAGCTGATAATTTTAGGTCGCAGTTGAAAAAATAGCTTCGAACGAAACAAGTAAACAAAGCACAAGGACAGTAAAAATCAAAGAAATTGAAAATTCTGGTTCAATAATGATGCATATCACAAAATTAAACAAAAAAAGATCGTATAAGATTGAAGAAATATTAATAAAAGATTGATCCCAATTTAACTAAAAAAACAACAACTAATACATGTCAAACACTATGTCATTACCTAGTACAATATACCAGCATAAAATGTATTTCTTACACTTCTTTATGATACTTAATACATGAAATTTCATATGATCAATTAAAAACATCAAATTTTTAGCCAAAAACGCATCAATAATATAATAATTTTAGTATTAACGAGGGTGTGGTTTGCATAGATGAGCTTTTCAATATTCATCAAAATTGTTTTAAATGACAGTACCTGATAAAAATACCTTCGAAGCATCACTCTTGAGAAATCATCATTCTCATCTCTATACCACTGCCGAGTTATAGGTAAGGAATTTTTACGTAAATGCACCACGGCCATTATACTCCGTTTCACGACATGTTTCTATCACAACAAAAAACAAGACAAAATGCTAATTTTTAATGTTGCCATCCAAATAAATTTTAATTTTAAACATTTGCTTATGTTAGCCCAGTAAAAATCTTTTTTAATAACCTAGTAGATGAAATACTGAACATCTTTCTTTTTACGTTGCACTAGAGCTGCACAGCAAGATATTGGCTGGAAAACATCCCAGAGGATGATCTGGAGACAACATACATAAGTTACAACCCATTTTTCAGAGAGAATTTATTCACACACTATCCATCCGCAGATCCTTATTCTGACCGGAACCAGAGCATGATCAATCTTCCGTCCAGTAACCCCAGAGGTATTGATTTGATATGGGAACTTGGAGGACTTTGTGAGCCCGACAGATTTAGCTCACCAGTCACCATTTTGTATTCGATCTCAGTTACGAAACATTCTTACTGCGTGCGATAGCTCAACTTTGCGATACACGCATGCACAACAGCAACAGCTCATCTTCAAGCAAAACTTGAAGAATGAGGTAAATTACCGATGAGAAAATATAAAAGCCTGATAGGTGAAATTCATTTTCAACCGAAACTCACCTAATCGAGTTCCCTTTCTCACTCGGTGGTGAAAACGTTTTTGATTCACCTTTTTCACTCAACTCCTTGAATGTGGTTCACGCACTTCTGTTTACCGCATAGAAAAATTGAGAAAAAGTATATTTCTTATTCGCTCTTGGTAGGAATGCGCCTTCAGTGCGACTGCTCTTGTAATTCGCGAATGCAGTAGCCTATAGGGAGCTTTGTCAGTTGAGACGAAGTCAGTTGGACTGAAGAATATGTCTTCATTGTAGGATTGCAGCATTCCTTCTATATTAAGGCTTACTAAATTTAAATATGTTTGATATTCTTTCCAATGCAAGCGAAAACAAAATGGAATCTCTTTTTTTTTTTTTTCTTTTAGAGAAGGAATATCCGAAACACATCGGAAAAATATTTGTAAATAAACAGAAAAGAAATATGTATCTTCTAATTAGAGTTAAAACTTAATGACCGCGAAATCGCTCTACTAAATTTAATGATCAAATATGAAAGGCCTATTTAAACTTTGCATTCCATACTTATCCGAATCATATTATTTCAAACATTAAAATATGCAAAAAGCATACAGAAACCCACAATGTTATATCATTTAATTTTGCAGAAAAGTTTTTCACAATTTTATTAAGTTTCAATAAGAAATCATAATTTATTAACTTAAAATAAAGAATGCTTCGATGAAAAAACTATTCTAAAAATTCCTCATGCTAAAGTAAAGCTTTCATATTGGCGATCGAAATGGGCTGGAGGTGGCGTAGAGCAGAACTCTTTTCCTATGGCAACACTTTACATGCTTTCCCNTGAACTGCTAGGACTAATACAGCCTGTAAATAACCTCTACACCAGAGGGCGTACTCGAGCGTTGCGATCGCGAATTAAGTTTCAATAAGAAATCATAATTTATTAACTTAAAATAAAGAATGCTTCGATGAAAAAATGATTCTAAAAATTCCTCATGCTAAAGTAAAGTTTTCATATTGTTTTTTTTTATTCTAAATCAGAAGTAAAAAACCAATCTGCAGAGAGCTATCATCAAATTACAAAAAAAAAAAAAATTATTTGCAAGAAAATTTTTTATTATAAAAATCACAAAACTTCCCTGCTTTATAAATCCGAAAAATTCCAAAATGTTATGTTTTTCGTTTAAAACTTTTATTTTCAAATGATATATTATTCCCTCAGCCTATCACACAATAAAATTTTATAATTGTAAGACCTCGATATGAATTTGAATATGCAACTTAAAAACAAAATAGCTGAATTCTAGATGAAATTAATCATTCAAAACTAAAACATGCTTACCAAGAAAACAATAAACATTTATTAATAATCACCACAAATGATACTATTTCAAGTAATTCGGATGATTCGTCATTATTGTTTTCCGAATTATATATGTAGATGCAGAAATATATACTATTCTATATGAAGAAGAATATTCTATAACTCTTACAGTTCTGAAATCACATTTATTCATTGGAATGAACTAATCAATGTAGACTATAATTTTAATGAATTGAAAACAAAAATAATGCATTTTACCGTCATACACATCTGTAACAGTATGAGATCAGGAAATCGGAATGTATTGGTTGCAAGCTTGTGATTAATAGAAAAGAAAAATTTATTGAAAAATTGCTCTTCAAATGTTGAGGTTTAGAATGATTTACCAATGTTCTGCGTCATTTCTTTTGCTTTTCCCTTAGGGAAATTTTGCTGCTAAAAAAGGCGTCCTACAGTACCAATGATTCTAAAACTAAACTCAGCGACGCGACAGCCCATAGAGGGCCAAGGCCTACTGTGCCCATCACAGTTTTCTTGGCCTTGGGCTCTGGGGTGCAGGAGCAGATGGGATTCCCCGTCAGAGGGAATATTCAAGTGTTGCGATCACGAAGCGGATATCCGAGGGACGCTAAAATCGGAACACAAGGTTTCACTGGAGTTTTCTTTTCACGTACGACTTTTTTTGTTTAAATTTGATTTTTAACGTCAATCTCGAACTACATACTTTTATGTAATTTAAGAAATTGCAGGTAAAAGAACTCAAGCTACATACGCGTAAACGGAAAATTCACCCAAACTGTAACAATGTCTTTACCGCCTGACAGTCAAAAGATAATTTCTAGATTCATCTCGTGATGAAGAAGCAAAATAATGATAAAACGCTAACGATAGTGGATTAAATACAATGCTCGATTTTTTGTTGTTGATATTTTCAAAGGATAAAAATTATTGAAAGATGTTTTGAGTAGTAATAGTACTTTTAAAAGGTTCCATTAAAGCTGAACTATTGGGGTAGAGTAGGAAACATCCCTGAAGTTAATCCGAAAACATGACATCACAAATTTGATCTTCTGTAAAGGGTATAGCTTCCCCACTTTGGTAGCCTGACGAATAGCGCACGAAGTTGGATACTTTAGAGTAGAAAAGTTTAATGAGGGCCGATGCAGCAATTATGCAACCTCTATTAATGAGGGCCTCGCTCCCTTCATGGGCTGTTTAAAGTGGTCACCCACCTGTTCTCTGACAGCAGCCTTGACTTCAGTGATTTATTGGGAACTGTGTTTTAACAATCCACTGCAGGACTAGAAATAACTGATTAATTGCCCTAGATTAATGTCTTTAAAGAAGCTGGTTTATAGCTCCAACAACAATACCTAGAGCTAAACTCACAATCTGGTTAGGCTGGAGGAACGTCTTGGTCCTTTTTTCATGTCATTGTATACTTTGCCATGCAAGAATTAAAATTTTTTGCTCTTCATAATAAAACATTTATCAAAAAATAGTTTCATCCAGAAACAATTTTTAACAAGGAAAATCTTTAGTGTTGTTAGGTACATACTATGAAAATCAGCTAAATTAAAATAATGTTTAGAAAAATTAATGAATTTTTTACTTAACAATTCTAAAAAATGTTTGTTCAGTTTTAAATTAACTAAAAAATAATCATTAAGAAGGCACTTACTGCTATTGAAATATAAGTAGCAAAAATATACTTAAGTGTTAATAAAAACAAAACTAAATACATGCCTGGGAGCAAGATAACAATACATTTTAATTTCTTATACGTTGAATACACAAATTTGAAACTGTCGATGCTATATTCTTCTTTAGATCAAAACTGAACTGGCAAAGACAATGGGATACCGAAATAATCGCCACTGCCGCTTATAATTGAAATTTTTAATAATTAAAATAGTTAAAAGGGAAAAAAATTATTCTTGAAATGTGCGCCTGGATGTTCAGAAACCAAGGCAATGATAAAATCACTACCCAAATTAGTATTCAGAGGTAGGCCTACATTGAATTAATGAGGATTTTGAAGAATTAACAATTAAAGTTTAAAATTAGATTTAGAGAGTGACCAACTACAGGAGCCCTCCGGCAAAGAGGAAAACAGAATAGAATGGAAGAAAATTCTGAAGGTTTTGGCCCACAAAGAGCTATCCTGTCAACAAAGAATAAATAAAATTATATTTCCTTCCAAATTATGCTTGGATATACGATTTGTGCAGTTATAATAAGTGATAAAGTGAAATACTCAGAGAGAGAAAACAAGAGTGAGAGGGCTCAAATATTCTATCAGCTTTGTAACCTTGAATTAATTTTTCAGATTATAGTTATCTTCCACATTTTAAGTCAAATATGCCTAACATTACCTATTTAGAAAGGAATGTTAACTCAAAGAAAGTATACATTTTTTGTGTGATCTTGTAACTCAAAATATGTTTTTGTTTCTGTTAACTCAAAATATGTTTTGTTTGTTTCTTCCAATCTTAAATTTTAATTCAATATTTAAAAATTTATTATTAGGTCTGTTAAATCTATTAGGTCTAATTAATTTACAGGGTATCTGCTACATTTTAGATTTTCAAATCCATGACTTTTCATGAATAATTCTAAGAATTTTTCGTGACTCACCTAAGTTACTATTTTCTCCACAAAAACACAATAAAAAAGGATTATAATAACATTAATTGAAATGATAGGTATAACCAATGCTGTTATACTCTGCATCTTTACATTTATTAATTTTAAAAAACAGACTAAAGAAAGAGTTGAAGCAACAAAATAGCTGAAAAATATACAAAAGCAACTAACTCAATACTGTCAGATATATGTAGTTATTTAAAGCTGTTTCATTTCTTCTTTGAAGTAAGTGTAAATGTAGCCTTAACTAGAATTTTAAATTGACAAAATAAAATAAAAAGTTTAAAAGATAATTCATGCTAGAAATGATGTTCTTTCTTTCATTTCTTGAAAGAAAACCGTAATTTTTAAAGAACAGGATAAAAACACTTTATATTTTAATAAAATATGACTATGAGTGGGGATTTTGCTACAAATTCAGACATTTGGAATATCGGAACACTGTGAAATTATTTTTAAAAATAGGATTTTTCGAGGATCTATGACCCTCCATTATTTTTTAAAAAAAATTTTTTTGTTAAAGTCATGACTTTCCAGGTGCGTGATACCCTGTACTTATTAGGTTTTAACTTTATTAACTAGTCAAGATGTTTTTTCCCCCTCCCTATTCAGAACATTATACAAATGAATTATTTAGAGCTTTTATATATTTACAAAAGATATTTTAAAATACATCTTCAATCTCTTTTAGAAAATCTTTTAACCCTTTCGCACCTAACGGGACACATATGTCCCAAGCAAATTTCAAAAAAATCTTTTGGGACAGAAACCCTTCCCTGTCTAATGGGAGACTTTCCCACCAGTCATGCCAATATTTTTGAAGGTATTTTCATTCACAGAACATAGATGGCGCTACCATACATAATGCTGCCCTACTCATAGTTTATGCTACCAAAATTATTCTGCTGTAAAAAAAAACTTGTCGCGAAAGGGTTAAGATTATACAATATTATTTAATTATTATTAATATCTATTATTAAAAATTTATACTATCTAGAAAAATAAAATACTCAAATTAAAATAATAATAAAATTAGTTTTTTTTTTCCTCTGAAAAATATAGTACATAGTACTAAAATTTTTGCGTTTTTTTTATAAACACATTTGGGTGGCAAAAATACATACAGAGAAGGAAAACACAATTGAGTGACATTTAAAAGTTTATTTTATGAGAAAGACAAAAACAAATTTTTTAAAAATATGTACAGGATTAGATCCATTTTATTATTTAACATAAATCAACCTTATTTTCCTCTTTTATATGATCCTTTGCCACGTGATGCTTTTCCTTTTTTCGCAGAACCATTTTCTTCAGCCTATAAAATAATATCTCAACAATAAATAACAATAGCAGCAATGAATATATAAATTGAGAGGAAGAGGACACATTTAAAATTATTTAATATAATATTGAAACTTTCAGTAAGTCAAAGTTTAAAATGTAGCTAATTGGCCCAAATTTGTATGTAAATAAAGCTAGCAACTATTACTTTTGGGCAACTGCCATTATATGTAAAAAATAAACATAGCTATGGTACATAAAACACGGTTGCCACTCAAATCTGGAAAAAAAATTCACTCTGTTTTCCCTCTACAAATTATAAGCAATATATTAAGAGGAAACAACAAATTCTGTGCTCTTGTGTGAGCAATATTGAGCTAACTATATTTATTAGTTTCAATTGCTGGAAAAACAGCTGAACATACTTATATAATGCCATAGTAAATGAAATAGTTTAGTATAGCTGAAATATCATAGTTAAATATCCCATAGATTACGCTTTGAGTGGTCTCCATTTTTTAAAAGAAAAAAAATCGAAATTCCCCGCATTTTCCCTGTTAGTGAAGGTGATTTTTAAATTCCCTGTATTTTCCAGGTTTTCCCTGTGAATTGGCAACACTGTAAAAGGTACAAAAGGTCAACACAACAATAGATACTGTAGCATAACTCCTATATTCATTCCTTTACTCAAAAAGGCTTCACTATTTCTCAATTTTTTTTTAATGCCAGTATTTTTGGTGAATTATTCCTTAATTTTACAGAACAGTAGAACTATACTAGTGCATCTTTTCTTCTTTTTTTGTTTTTGTTTTATTGACTGATAGTTTATTTTAAGTATATTGCTAAAGATTATGTCATTTGTATTTTTGACGAAGTATGACAGCCTAGACAGTCAGAGCTCTATAGCATCACATATATATATATATGTGTGTGTATGCATACATGTGAGTGTATATATGATACTGATGAGACCCTAGTAAGTATTTGCAGAACCCCAAGAGACACGAGGTGGTCATTTCATGTCAATTTAGTTTTTACGAATGTAAAATTTTTAGATTCATATCTATGAGAGTTTATTCATAGAATATTACAGAAACATTAAATATTCCTTATTTTAAATTACAAACATAGATAATGACATACCTTTCGTTTTACAGGATTATTCTTTGGGATTACAGTAAAGAAACTATCTAATCTTCCTTGTGTACTTCCGTGACGACCTTTCATTAGCTTTTTAACACCATTTTTTACCCTGTCTTCACTAAGAGAGGAAATTAGTTTTAAATTAGCATCGCTTACAAACAAAACATTATAATTTGTGATATATTACATAAAATTTTATTTAATGTAATATTTTTAATGAAATTTTGACATAATGCATATTAAGTGACAAATTTTATACCATAGTTAATATAATTACAATACATTAATCCTTTTAACTCACCTAAAATTTTTTTCCCCACACAAAAATTTGATGAGACCTTCCTCATCTGGATCATTCCATTTCAACTATAATTAAATAGTATTTGATATTTTAAAATTTATACAATAAAAATAGATAGTTAATTAGAAATTAAAAGATCAATTAAAAATAATTGGAAAAAAAATTAAAGAAAAAAACATGTTTTTAATAAATTAATGTAGCAATAAAAAATATATTAAGATTAGAAAAGAATACGCATTAATATAAAAATATCTACAGAATTTTTAAATAAACATTTATTTACCTCAACATTTTCACCATCAGTAACTTCAGGTTTTTTAAACAATTCTCTGGCCTCTTTATAATACCAATCCTCTGGAATTTTATACTTCTGTAAGCATGAAAAAATATTACTTTAGTTTTGAATTATACAAATTATAAAAAAAATACCTACACATAGTAAAATAAATAAATCAAGATAACCTAATTGGGTTCTGAAAAATACCTTAGAATCTAATTTTTCAATGATTTTCTCAATGCATCGATAATTCTTGATATATTCATATGCTTTCTTTGGTCCAATGCCTTTGATACTTTCACAATAGTCACATCCCAGAAGTATACAGAGATCAATAAACTAAAATAACAAATTTAAAAATTGTACGGAAAAAAAGCAAATAAACTATTTTATGCTTTCAGCTTCACTTATAAAAATAGTTAAAACTAAAAAAAATGTAGCACAATCAATATTTTAATGAAAGAAATAAAAAAAATATCTATTTTCTACATAAAATAATTAAAAATCGATACTCTGCTATAGTCCATTCCACCTTAAGTTGGCACTGGAGAGAAAGGTAGGTAGACCGGATTACATGGAAACTGGGTTACTCTTTAAGTCAGTACGGGGATGAGGTAGCNTGGTTCTCTACTTGTAGCACTATCAATATTTTAATGAAAGAAATAAAAAAATATCTATTTTCTACATAAAATAATTAAAAATCGATACTCTGCTAACTTTTAATGCAATGACCAGATTTTCATGGATAAAGGCACAACTTTAATGGTTGAATGGGCAAAACATAAATAGGCTTATTATAAAAAACATACCTTTTCCAAACTTATTCAAGACAGTGGCTACTCCTATTTAATGGTAACTCATTCATACTTTTTAAATATAGACAAATATGAATGCTTGAAAAAATGTTTGAGATGTGTATAATAAATACTGTTCCATCACAGTTTTAGTGACATTTTGCCATTTGGTAGAAAAGAGCAGTTTTGCCATGAATCTTCAATGGCTGATTATTTCATTAACTAATTTTAAAAATCTTTTAAACATAAAGAAATGTATTATTTTTGAAATCATCAGGAATAATATTAATTTAAGTTCAAAGTAATTATAAATTTAAAAAATAATTCATTGTATGTGTATACATATATCTTTAACTAATGGTTCTTAAGCTTATAGTTTTTATACTACTAATAATATTAATACTAATAAATATTACCATAATAAACTATAAACAATATTAATCTTATAAGAATATGATATCTAATTATGTGTAAAATAGCGATGAGATAGATTAAGAATTTTAGAGTGGATTTTTCGGCTTGTGAGGAAGTTCTTATGCCAAAATACTTTCAAACTTCATATTTATCTTATCATTTAAACTTCTACTTTAAGTTTTCTTTCCTTTTCCAAGCAACAATATAACTTTTTTTTTGTTTAGTCCTCAAAGGTAGAGCTGAATTCTGCTAATTTTATAATTTTCTTTTTATAAATATTAAATAATTTGGAATTTAAGTTAAGGCAACAAGTCCAGAAACTAAGCTCTGGTTTAGTAGAATGAAATAATCATAGAAGTGAGCGAATAAAGGATTATGACAATTGAAAAAGGTCACATTAAAAAAAAGTTGTTATTGCTGATATAGTGATCGTAGAAACTTAACTAACAAATGATAATGCCATAAAAAAGTATGAGATGGACATTACCAATAACTCAAAAATTTTTGTATGGGGCATAACCTTTACCTTGAGGTTATACAACCTCTGTTTACTTTAATAAGATAATGCCTTTTGGAGGAGTACTATCAACTGAACATTTTAGATTTTTTACTTTATTAACAAACATACATAAATAAAAGCAATTGAGCGTAGAACATAAATATATAGAAGTTACAACAGTTTGTCAAAACTTCTATGACATTTTGGCAATTATTATTATTTTTTTTTTTGGAAAGATGTTCACAAACTACCTGAACATTTAACAATGGCTGGGACAGTCATTTTGTCTAAACTTATTGTTTTGTCTAAACTTATTGTTTGTCTAAACTTAGTAGAATCTTATTGAGACAAAAAGTTTAGCAATTTTATTCTAAATACAGGTCACTACCTTTTATTACAAAATCTAAACCTGAAGGACATGTTTATAGTTCTTTATCTGTCCATAAAAAACTATTTTCAAATAAACAATTTTTTATCTTAAAATCCATAAACTTTTCTCATTTTACTATGGAAGCAATAGGATAATGCTATTTTCTCTGCCTCAGGCTTTGCATAAACCAAAAATAACAGTCAAATTTGATTTAAAAAAAAGTTAAACAAAGAATAAGAAATTAATTTCAATTTGACGATCAATTTAACCAATGCTTCAAAAATGTGAAATGTTCCATTCTAAGAAGGGGGGGGGGGACATTAGCTACATAAGATTGTTGCTTCGTTCAATTAATCTACAATGTTTTCAATTAGTGCAATATATTGTAATGCAAAACCTAGTTTACATATATCTAACACACGACCACAAGCAAGAAAAGAAAAAAAATTCTTTGAACTTATTTCAATTAAAATGTGCCGAAAATGGATCCAAAAAAATTTATAACATTATCATTGAGATACCTCATCATGATTTAAGCCAGTTTCTTCTAAAATATGATTTAGGTGAAATTCTTTAATGGGCATTTTCCTAAATAAAAAAAAAAGATATGCAATAAACAATAATAAAAAAACATAAACCAAACAAATTTTGTTAATGGTTGACTATTTCAATAAAAACTATTGAAGAAGATACACAAAGGTGCCAATCTGCAATCTATTTTTAAAAAATTTCCTAACTCTGGAGTCTGAACTAGAATATGTACAACTTGAGAAAAAATCAGCAGCAACATTTCTGAATTCATATTCATTATTTTTATGACTGTATTAAAAATAATGCAATATAACATGTAAAATTGCATACAAACTAACATAAGGTCTATAAAGATTTCTAATAAAACTGAAAACTCACCTTGCCTCACTAAAAGTCATATGCCTAAGAAGAACATTAGAGCCAAAAGTTAAGGCATCCATATCTTCAGTAGCCGTTGCATACACTTTGCCTGCCTTTACAAGAGCTGCACATTGTGCTTCAGCTTCACAAGGGGCCTATTTAAATTTAGGTTAAATATAATTAACCAAGTTATAGAAGGAAATAATTTTTAATAAAACTATTTGCAATTAAATAATAAATTGTGATGAAATAAATCATTAGCTACTGATAATAATGCACATGCATAGAGGAAGTAAGCAAAAAATCATCAGATTTCATTAATCTCAAGCAATTTTTTTTCTTCAAATTTAAAATATAAAGAAATAAATATCGAGAATTGGAGGTTTTGTAGCTTTTAAATAATAGCAGAATTGATGATAATATTTTTCATTTTACAATTTATATAATTTTGTAAATAATTCAGTTATAGCATCTTTCTGTATCATTTCCCTTTTTACTGGTAAAGACTATATAAGAAAAAATACATTAATTAATAAATTCCTACTAAATTTATAGCATTAATAACTTTAAATACGACATTTATCTCCCTCCGAGATATTAAATACATAATTGATGAAAAACTGTATATAAAGACATCAAACTTATATAATTTCTTTTTATTTATTTAAGTTTTCTAATTGTGTTATGAAATATCTACACTTTATTATTTTAAAAATAAATTCATGAATAAAAACTACTATTAAATATTTCATACATATTTGATATGTATGAAAATATATTTAATTTCTTTTTTCTCAAGCATTTTCTTTACTTCTTAACAGAATGGTTGAATTAAGTTTAATAACAAATTTTTACTTAGCATTTAAAATTATACAAGCTAATATTATCTAATGAAGTATAAGCAATATATGCCCCTTACATGCTTTCTTTACTTTAAAAAAAAATGAAAAGCTATAATTATACTCTGCACTTTTGCCATTTAAAGGTAGAAAAAATTAATCTACATAAAAACCAAAAATATCTAACAACAACATAAATGGAAGCGGTCAATTTTAAAAGGGAATATGTAAAATTTTTACGAAAATAAGTCTTTTGTTGGTTTTGGAATATCAATCACCGATTATCAAATATTGAAAAATTTTCTGAACTGTCTAAAGATAATCCAACAATTTAAAAGTAATTAAAACAATCCTTCCGCAATTCGCGCAGTTTTTCTCGAAAGTGCATATTTTGTAACATACCCCTTCTTTACATTGACCGTTTCAATTTATCTCTTTGTTTAATATATATATGGTATTGATTGGAAGTATATAAGGATAACGTGATCTAAAAAAATAATAATGATGGTAATAAATCTTACCCTCCTTTACAAGTTAAACATTGTGGCTATGAACCAAAAGTGCTCAATGAACACAATTTACTTGTTCGAATAAATAGATGGTCAACTTATATGAATAAGTAGACCACTAAAACAATGCACGATCAGTGGTAAACTTACACACGTTTCACTATGTAAGTAATAAAAAATATAATAACCTTGTACAGTAACAAAACATTATTGAATTGTAGCAAGAATATAAAAAAAGACCAATATAAACATGAAAAAGAAAATGAACATGATTACAAAATCATAAAATATGTGAACTCCGTTTAATATCTTTTTAAAACAAATCAAAATTTATAAACAGACATTTTGATTAGCTTACTTCAACATAAGGGATTCCCATTAGCCTTAATAACTCTTTGCATTCATCATTATGCTGTCTTGTAACTTTAACCAACCTTCTAGTGAACTTATTAATGTCTTCAGCAACACCTATATGAAGAATTCACTATTAGTAGCTACTACTACTAACTATATGAAATATGCATAAAAAATAAAGGAAGGAGCAGTAGAGATATATAATAAACCTTCTTCTTCAGCTTTTTCTAAATTCTTTTGCGCTTCTTCTCTCCTTTCTTGACGTTTTTCAAGCTGGAAACATAAATTAAAACATTTGGCAAAAACTTCCTCAATAATCAAAATGGGGTGTCAAAATTTTAATTATAATAGAATTTTTACCTCAGATGATTTCATTTGAGGAGGTTTTCCATCAAAAACATAAACAGGTTTAATGCCATTATCAACCATACGAATGGTACGATAGAACAACCCAACCAGATGGCTAGAAATATAATAAATATAAATGAATTTACTTAGTCAAATAAAACACAAAGTCTAATTCCCACAGCAAAAATATCATTGATATTCATACATAATGTAAGCATATTATTAAGCTTTTAAAATCAAATGATTAACTTTGAAGTTAACTAGATCTAAAATTAAAAATTATTGCAAAAAATTTATTTTATTTGTTCCATATTCTTCAATACTCTTTTTTGTCGAAATGAACAACAATTATATAGATATTTTATTTCTTTAACATTAAATGGCACTACTATTATACAATATGACCTTAATATTAAAATGCTGGTCAAAATGATAGTAAATCAAACTTATTAAACCAATAATTAAATTATAATGTAATATTAACTACCACTTTAAAATAAATTCTATAGTTGATATGAAAAATTTGATGCAATTGATGGGTATACAATGTTGTAATTTTTAAACTTTTCAGTTCTAAGAATAATATAGAAATTTTAGTCTTCAGAACGCAATTTGTTGGCAGTTTTATTTATAGCAATAATTATTATTCAAATTTAAAGTAACTTTCAATCCCATCATAGAGAATATGATTTTTGTTTAAATTAATTTTGTGCTTTTTTATACATAACAAAATTTAACTAAATGAGTATTATCTTATACATTACATATATACTGATACATAACATTACATATCATTTGTGTGGGACATATATAAAAACACAGTATTATTAAAAACTAAGTCAATTCTGATCTGTAACAAAAAGTATTATCTTTGTATGAATAAGCATTATCTTCATACATTACATATATATCAATACATAACATATATCATTTATGTGGGAGATATCAAAACACAGTATTGTAGTATTAAAAAAAGATTGTTCACATAACTAAAAAAATAAATCAAATTCTAAATTAAACACAAACCCTGAGGCAGAATCGTGGCAGCCCGGAGACATTGTAGCAGAACATTACCAAGTTCTTACAGAAAAATTTTTCCTTTAGGAAGTAAAAAATTTTGGTTTTCTTTTCTGCAGAAATTTTCATTCTATTTTCTCCCCTGTAATTATTACTATTGATTTCAACATAGTTTTTAAAATCCGATATTTTTAATACGATATTATTTATAACAAAAACTGAATCTTGAAATGAAAACACACATTTAGTAACCCCTTTTTGAAGAGGTTTGGTAGTTACTGCTACAGATTTTAAGATTTTGTAATTATTTTCTTTTAATATGATGATTTACAAAATGCGATAAGGGAAATAATTAATGTTTTTCACCCCGACAAAACGCAACAATATCGGCCATAACATTAGAATTTAAAAAAAAAAAAAATTATATATTCAAATAAAAAAGTTATATTATTTTATTTTAACTGAAAAGTTGTTGAAAAGTGTCAGTTTTTCTTCAAGTTGATGCTTCTGTTACTTTAAATTAGTATCATGTATATTTGTTATTTTTGAAAGAATCTGGCAGAAATATATTAGTATTTAAGAGGTATGTAACAGAAAACCCTAAAAATTCTGTCACAGGGAACACAAACATCTTTTATAAAGGAATATTCTTGTTTCAATACCTCTTTGTATGAACAACAACTTACAAGAAGCCAAAAGGATTTTATATGCGCAGAGATTGTAAAAATTTTTTCTAAAGGTTAGGCTAAGGGTCATTACAAGTTATATATATACCCTTCGAGAGTTCATGTCAGCTATTTTTTCTTCTTTTTTGTCACTTATGTACAACTGCCTGGCATAGGCACTGATATAGAAATCTCTATGTATGGGTTAAGTAACAATTTCTTTAACATTTTTCTCAAACATAATAAGCGAAAAAACCAATATGAAATGAGAAATTTCATTGATTCATGCTCCAATATGCAATACTTAATAAATAAGATTTTTTATTTTATTTAGAGATACATCACTGGAAATTTCATGTATTTGACCACTAAACTAACAATAAGTGACTTATGATATATTGATAAAATTCTCACAAAATATACTCAGCTGAATTCTTTATTAACAATAACTAAACTTTTCATTCCTTAAAGTTTAACAAAACATAATTTTTAATTAATACAATACTAAGAATAGAATTATAAGTATAAAATAAGTTATAAGTTTAAATAAGTTATGGTTAAAATAAGAATAATAAGTTTAAAACGGACCTAGTAGTTTCTCCTTCACTATTTGTTAACATATTCGCTTCTTGGCGAACAGCTATCAAAAACTGATAAATACTCATTGATGCATCCACAGCAATTTTTCGCCCTATAAAACATGCAATGAAAACTATAAAACAAAAATTGTATATGATAATACTTGAAAATTTTAAAAGAATTTAAAATTCTATGTATATACTTCGTTGAGATTTTGAAAAGTTAATGTATAAAAAATAAAATTAATTCACGAAAATTACATAAACACAAAATTTAGTAAATAAAGCTTGTACTTAAAATCTAAGTAAAAATATTTACCAAAATAATTTTTTATCTCATTTTCTTTCATTGATGTGGGCGCACAATCTGCTATTAATTTAGCTAACCCCTGAATACCCATCCTTTAATTCTAATAAATATCTATAAGCTGAAATAGAACTAAAATTTAACTTTCAAATGACAGCCTGAAAAAAATTAAAATTTAGTAAACAAAATTTATGGCGGGAAGATATCCAATACAGTTACAGTGAAGTTTGAAAATGGCTTCATTTGTATCTGCTTGTGTTGATTATTTTTAGTGAATACTGGTGAATACCTACGCAGCCGAAAACGCATATGCGATTAGTTGGATACAGATACGAAAAACTCTACATCAAAATTGGCGATCAAAATGGTGTAGAATTGGCGATCGAAATGGGCTGCAGGTGGCGTAGAGCAGAACTCTTTTCCTATGGCAACACTTCACATGCTTTCCCCATTAGCGTGTGGAAAGTCATAGAGGAAGGAAGCACGTTAGTTTCTCTCTTGATTTTCATATAGATTAAAATCTTTTAACTTGAAAAACTATATGGAACTGAAAACTACATTAAACATAGTTCTAAAGAAAAGTATCGTGGAAATTTTAAAAAATATTTTTATTAAATAAAAAGGAAAAATATTAAGAAAAGGGAAAATATCGTAGTATGGATGGGTGATCGTGAAAAGCTAAGGGTGGTGGCGCTAGTGGTTAAATTGCTCTCGCAAGACTCCCGGGTTACTGCTTCCGGTATATTTTTACGCCGCAGATGGAAAAAACGCGCCATCATATTATTGCATCATATCTTTTGCAGTATTTCACATGTACCGAGTTCTTTCTTTCAGCCTTTTATATTATAATCATTATTAATATTATAATCGTCAGAATATTTTCTAATTAAGCTAACTTAAAAAGATATTTTTAAAGATATTTTTGGCGACATTTTATTCAAATGTAGCCAAATAAGGGATAAAATACAAAACATGGCAAACCTTAAGAATTTTTCACAATGAGATATTAACTTTCCAAAACTTTTTTTGGCCTTACGACCTCTGAGAATCAATACATTTCTGAAAGCTCTTATGAATGGTACAATTATGTTTGGATTTGAACCCAAATTACAATAGCAAAACTGCATAGAATATTAGGCTTGTTCACACATCGCCTCGTAGTCATAACATAAGCGGAGGGATACACCGGAAATTTTCTAAATTTCTTCCGGTTTAAAGACGCTTGTTATTGTTTACATTAGGCCACCCATCCATATACAACTGAAAAGAGGAGGAAAGGGAAGGGAGAAGGGCTAAAGGCATGAAACCGGTCTCTCCCCAGATGGCGTATTCGAGTGTTGCGATCGCGAATAGAACTTTTCGTAATTTATTGTATAATTAAAACATCACCTGCATTAATAAATTAACACATTTATAATGAACTCATTCATATTGACGAAGCGGGGGTGCCATCCCCTCTGCAGAGGATCAAAATTGTGATGGCATGTCTTCGGATCATCCTCAGGGATGTTTCCCTGACCGTCGCCAATAGCCCATTGTGCAGCTCTAGTGCGACGTAAATGAACAACTACAACAGCATTCATATTGAGTCCCACTACGAGAAAATCTGATTATTTAAGGAAAAGTTATTTAGGGTGCTCACATTTTCACATGTGCTCACATTTTGCTTTGTGTTATGGCGCACAACTGCATCCCGCATTGGACTGATCGTTAAGACACGGTTCCCAGCAGATCACCGAAGTCAAGCATCACTGACTACGGTCAGTGTGCGGGTGGGTAACCACTTGGATCAGCCTGCGTAGGGACCGATGGTGTGCGGTATGGGTCCTCGTTAAACTGTTCTACCGTAAAGTGCTCGACTTCGCGTGCAGGTCGTCGGGCTACCAAAGCGGGGGTGCCATCCCCTCTGCAGAGGATCAAAATTGCGATGGCATGTCTTCGGATCACTCTCAGGGATGTTTCTCAGACCGTCGCCAATAGCCCATTGTGCAGCTCTAGTGCGACGTAAATGAACAACAACAACAAATTCATGTTAAAAAATATTGAATTTATCAGCTGCATTTTTTTAAAATTATTTTCACGATTAAATTTTTAATTGACAAAATTAACTTTGACAAAAAAAAAAAATTTACATCAGCATTATTTTTGACGTAGATAACGCCTCTTTGGTTAAAGTCTTTGATCTTGATTAATTAATTAGTTAAATCTTTTGGTTGAAAAAAGGTTGCTGAAAGTTAACTAATTTAGCAAGCTGACAATTTCTAATTTTTATTTAATAGCTTTTATGTTAATAACTTCACATTTTAATAATTTTTTATTTTAATAAATATATATTTTAATAACTTTTTAAATTACTTTAATAGTCCCGCATTCTTAATTCATATGTTTTCTTTAAATTAAAAGCATAGGAAACAGACAAGAAAATAGTTTTAATATTGAATAGTGCAGTGCACTGTTAAAATGAAAATTATTAACCAGTTTCAGTTAAATATATTAAATTTTTTGTGATTAAAATAATTTTTATACATGCATTAACTTAATATATTAAAACACTTATAATCCATCCTTAAAATCCTAATTGGAAACAATATAAAACTTCTCAAAATAATATAACCTTATTTATACATTTAAAAGAAAATAAAAACAATAAACTAAAACAATAAAAAATACTATAAATTAATGGTTAATTTACTTTAATTATTTAAAAATTGGTCCATATCTGTAGAATTGGATGGAAACATTTATTTTTTAAATTAAACTGATTTATTTATTAGAGTAAGGAAAGACAACTTTTCTAATTGATTACAATTAAATTTCTTTGTACTCTGTCCCTTATTACAATCATTTGAAAATATTTTGCGTTTAAACTCTCACCGCGCTGTGGTCAGACTGACAAGCAATCAACAATCATTTTGATCCAGTCAACAGATCATGCAAACAAAATAGAAATAAATAAAACTGATATTTTTTCGTTAAGCTGCTTCTCTGACTATTTGTGAATTTACAATTAAATTAGAGTTCAATACAGCCCAATATAAAAGCATTTTGTGCCTTATAAAGTTGTCTATCACTTATACGAAACTCGCTTTCAGTTGTTAATTTAAACAGGAATGAAATCAAAGTGAAATATATTGCTTCAGTTATGAAATTAATTTATTATTAATTCAAGACTTCAGTTTAACTGTACATATTAAATGTATTGAATGTTGTGGATTGATTGTAATTATTATAAATAATAATGTAAATTAAAACTTTAAACTCTAAGTTTTTGAAAAGAGCAAAAAAATAATGAGGTAATTCTATTTTGTCTCTCCTAAAACAAAAAGCGTTAGACGCATCACTTTCTAAAGTCGGAGAGGGGGGGGGGATTCCTGTAACCAACTTAAATTTTTCTCCATCTCTAGAAAGTGATGCACCTATATTTTTTGTTTTATGTGGTAGGATTAAAATTGGGAGAAAATAGTTTGTGGATCAGGATATTTTTTTATAAATAAAGCACCAGAATTGTCAAAACTGTTTTAGTTGGGCTCTAACATCATAAAATAAGTGGTAAGCGTTGAAAACCTCTTAAAAAAGTTAATTGAAAGATTTTGATTTCCACTATATCCTCTTCAAAAACCATTAAATTTGGCAGTTATATAAATTTGTTTATTTTTGTAAACTTACTTTAATTTTATTTCAGAAAAATATTTTCTTTTTATTTGTGATGATATTCTTAATTACATTTAGGGAGCATCAAAATATTTTAAGAGCTTAAGGCCTCTAAGGTTTTTAATTAGTCCGGGGAACTGTGAAGCGTACATGGAGTCTGTTTTGATGTTTTCAGATCCGCCTTTACTAGATATTTGTTAGATTTCCACAGCATTTTCTTCCCTCGCTTAAATATTAATTTTTGGACCCTAAGCTGTCTACTTTTTATAAATTTATTTTCGGCTAAGATTTTAAAATTATGCATAAAGAGTGGTAATTTTGGAACATCTTGTCTAAACAAATCATTGAAAAACTGTTTTAATAGACATAAGGGATTTAAATTCATGTTCTAAAATAACAGTGAAATAGCAATGAAAATAATAATAACATATTATTTTCAACAAAATAACAATGAAATAGAATGGTTTGAACTGGTTAGGCATTAGCAAATTACAAAAATTCATAAGAAGCTAAAAAACGTCTCTGGCTCTATCTTACTTGGAGCTTTATAAAAAGGAAGTAAGTAATGCAACAACAAGTGCAATACTTTTCCGAGAACCACTATCATACATCCTCGTACTTGGCATTTCTACGTCTTGATTTCTACGTCATCAAAAAAATGGAGGATAAGGTCAAAAGTTATTCAGATTGTACGTTAACATGTTTTCCTGAACTCCCAGACAAAACAATAGTTTCATTCGAAAAGCAATATTAATATTGATTGTTCATCTGGAAGTCCTGTTGTTAGTCTAACTAAAAATATTTTGAGACATTTCAAAAGTTAAAATACCGTGCACCTTAATAGCTTTTAATCTAATGATCAGATTTTTATGCCCTAATGATTGGAGAGCCTTACCTGAAATATTAAAATATGCTAATTAATTTATGAGGACTAAATTTTTTGTTAAAAAATCGGGTACAGAAATGTATTTTCTCTGAATGAACACTTTTATTATGATTTCAAAATATGGGGGTATGGCTACAATCTGAGAAATATGGCCCCATAGTTGATACAGGACAGTGGTCAAAAGTTTGGAACCCTTAAAGTTAACGCCTCTTGGAAATTTTGCCATGTGTTAGGAACTATTTAGGAGAATCAAAATATTTTTACACTCAATTATATGGTGGAGTGTATGAGTTTTTAGATCATTTTATATGACAAAATTTAAAAGAAATTTGATTAAAAGTTTCTGAATAACGAAATTTCAAAACAAAGTTGTACTCTTAAATTTTTAGTTTGGTTTAGTTTGGGTTGACATAATTAAAAAAATAATGTAAAAATTTGCAAAACTTATTACTTAAATTTTTTTTTCGAATATTAAAATTTTTTTCGAATAATGCATGTATTGTACATAAATTATAATGAATACTTAAAATTTTAAAACAAATTTTTCGTGTTGAATTATCTTTAAATAGATAAGTACTATAATTGTGTTCAAAAAGTATATTATTCGCTTAAATAGTTTTAGAGACGTGACGATAATACACAAAAAGGGAAACAACTTTAAAGGATGCAAACTCTTGATGACTCTCATGATTTGTTTAACAGTTCCA